GGGGGGCGCAGTGCAGAGACCACCTCTGCAGGAACACCACACACAAAGACACAACGACGAGGCCCTCTGTGCACGTGGAGCCTCTGGCTGTCGGTGGCAATGGAGGCGCAACATCCTTATTATGGCTCTCACTATTAATATTTGGGAGGAATTACGGCTGCAGCGAAACATAAGAGCCACATGGGGGGTCGTGCTGGTCCGTTACCATCAGCGTTCCCCCGCGTGGCTAGTCAGGCTACTCGCTATAGTACGTGAAGACATTCTTTGTCCCCTAAAGGAAACAAGTCTGTACAGTGCTTTTCTAGTCTTCCAACCACTCAAAGCACTATATACGGTGGCCCTGAAGTGCAAAACACAGCGGCAAATAGGAGAACACAATGAGATTAACTCCTTACGGAAAGGGTAGGGCCTTATAGCAGAGGACGGACCCTTCTGATTGGACAGACGGACTGTCTGTCTTTTAACAGGAGATGATACAGGGCTCACGCATTGAGCGTGAAAGTCACGCATTTGTCACGCACTCCCCACACATCCTATTCCTCACGCCAAGAAATCGGACTCCGGTCCCCGAGGCGTGTCGGCCGTAGCGTCCGCGGCTCCCCCCCTTTTATTTACTTTTATGTACAACACCTTAATATAATTTAAGAACAAAACAGCGGTAAACCAACAGTGAAACACTAGTAGGACACTTTTAAGACACTCGTAAAACATCGTCATCTCTCAGTGACTTCCTGCTGCGTCACTTCCCCCCTCATCAGACTCTCAGTCCCCCACTGATTTATTGATTGACAGAATATCTATAAAGCGGCATTTCTCAGCTTTCAGAATCCAATTGTGCAAATAGTTAAGGAGTCACGGTAATTTGAATCCTCCATGTCACTTTCCGTCGCCGGCGAAAGGCTTCGGATTAAGAGGGTTAAAAGACAGACAGTCCGTCTGTCCAATCAGAAGGGTCCGTCCTCTGCTATCTGCTATAAGGCCCTCCCCTTTCCGTAAGGAGTTAATCTCGTTGTGTTTTGCACTTCAGGGCCACTGTAACTTTAACACTGTATTCACACACTGATGACCGGAGCCACCTGTCATCAATAACCAACATCCACACACATGCAGGAGCAATGTTGGGTTAAGTGTCTTTCCCAAGGACACACGGACATGCGGGTTGGCCGAGCCTGAGATCAAACCACCACCCCCCCCCCCCTCACCCACAGTGAGGTTATGAGTCCCCCAACAATCTGAGCAAATAAATTTCTATTAGTATTAATCCCCTGTTCTTAATAATCTCAAGAATGTGCCTTGACTTAATCTCGCAGAGTATCGGCCCACAACGCTTCTTCTGCTTCTTCATCAACACAGACCTCCCCCCACTCTGCAGCCTCACAGTTTGGGTTCACAGTTTGAGTGACGAGAAGAGGAAGCAGACGTCGTATCTCTCTCCACAGAGATGGCTGGGTGGTTGGCCTGAAGCTGCTTCTTCGCATACACGTCTGTTGTGCTCCTGGGGGGTCGCCTCTACGGTACGTACCCCCCTGCTCTGCATCTGATCGATTGGTACCGGTGATACAATGAGTTTAGCTCCATCCCCCAAGTCCACGTCCTTAGGATGGAGCCGGTGGGGAGAGAGAGAGGAAATCAAAGAATGGAATGAAGTCAAGGCGTCAAAATGTGTGCGGTTTAAAGATGAATAACAAAACATTACGTGTTCTCATGTCTCATGTCTCGTGTTGTTGAACATGTATCATGCACTGTTGGTAATATTCATTTATTGCGTCTTGTGGTTTTGAATGTGCGAACACGCTTTGCTTCTTTCTTGGTAAACTGTCAGCAAATCTGCAGCTTCTGCTTTCACAACTCAGGATGGGCTCATCCCATCTGCTTCTGCTACTTCCTCCTCCAGGATCAGTCATACGAATGTATTTATTACACACGGTAGCTGGTTTGCAGACGGGGGTTTCATGTTAAAATGGCCACATCAGTATTTTTAAAGTTACCAACAAGCACAAAGTAGCTGTTGCTGCATTGGAAATGTGTGTGAGGTTGTTTGTGAAAATATGACGGCAGACAGTCGTGGGGGTTGATTTCCTGAGAACCCCCCAGCTGCAGCGGCGCTGCCGGAAAGTGATGAGTAACACAGGATAAAGGCAGCAGTGAGCCGCTGTCACTGTGGTCGCCCTTTTGTTTTCTGTGGAAATAAGTTTACGCCTCCTCTACTTAGTTACAGCTATTGCATCTTTTTTATGAACATGTATTTATAATTCACATTATCTCATTTCCTCACTGCACATGAGGTCAACCATTAGTGGACAGACGTTTTGAAGCCTGCAGTTCGGCCTTTTAGTCTTCGCCATCTTGTGTTCAGGCGACCAACACGTGACGTTTAACTTTACACAGATCGCTCTCAGACCGGGCGGCGCTGTCAATCACAAGGTAGCAACGCCCGCCCCCCCCCCTTTGCTCTCCCTGTATGAACATAACGTTTCTGACCGTGAGCGTCTGTTCTGTGTTGATGTGTTTCAGATGTGGAGGCTTCACGCTGTGATGGTGTCATCTATAAGAAAGTGGGGGACACGGTGGAGTTGCCCTCATGTGCACCAACTGAAGGGGTCACTTTTCCAGAGTGGAGATATGGTTTTAATTTAATCATAGCAGAAAAAACTGTTTATGAAAACAATCAGTTCCAAGGCAGATTAGACCTGAACCCCACAAGCTTTAATTTAACAGTGAGACAACTGACTCGCCAAGATTCTGGTGTTTTCCTATTTATCTCAGCGGTGAAGGGCACACAAAGTGAAACAGTCACCATCAATCTGACAGTTTATGGTAAGAACCTCAGAATAATTCATGACTTATAAACTCTTAATAATATATTAGTTGGCTGATAGATGGATTATATAACAGAGGACACAACAGGGGCAGAAATCATCACCTCATCAGGTTCTGTTTTTAACTTTGTTTTCACAGCTCGACAACCTGCAGCTTTAAGTAGATTAGATGGCGTCTGATAGCAAAAGCTAGTTGGATATAATGCACAATTGCACCTATAAGAATGCAGTGAACCCAAAAAATAAATGTTAAATGTTTGACACCCTTCATTATACATCATATATCAATAGCTTGTCAATGCGTCCCTCTGACAGAATTATTAACCAAATATTTTGGGGTTTATTCAAATTGAGTTCCTCTCTCTCTCTTTCTCCCAAATGCCTCATTAGATCCGATAACCAAAGAGCCTGCTGTCACTTTTGATTCCTCCTGGGACGCAGAGAAGAACTCCTGCACAGTTTCTCTGACTTGCAGTTCAACCTCTGACAGCAGCGTCACCTTCAGCTGGACCGTGAGGAACGAAACCACGAGCGGCTCCACGATGGTTTACAACGTCACGCCTCAGGACGGAGACACCGGATTCACCTGCACCGTCTCCAACGTGGTCAGCGAGAAGTCAAAAAGCATAACAGCAAAGTGCAGCAACACACCAGAATCACGTAAGTGCAGAAAAGGGTTTAATTTGAACAATTATTTCTTGAATCAACTTTTAAGTCAATTTAAAAAGTTTAACTCGGTATTTAAGCAACCTATGCTTCAATTTCAAACATCAAAGAAAATTCAGAATGTTGCTTTATTCACTTATAAAAAGGCATTTTGACAACATAACCCAGAGGCAGAGCTGATTATCAAAATTTTGAATTATGAAAATTCAAAATGAGAAAATTTGCTTTTAAAGGTTCGCCATATGTTTGAGTTAAACTGACTTAAATAAGTTGTAAAAAATATAACAGTGTTCCTTTATCAAAGATATTTGCACATGCATTGAGATCAGTCATCAGCCCACTGAGAAAGATGATGCAATTATTTTAAAAGATGTCTGATTGTCTGAGTAAGTTGTTTGAAAGCACTTTTCTCTTTCAATTGTGTGATGCTTAAACTGAGGATAATATATAAAACTTGTGTTTTAAAAGTCTGAAACCTCACTTATGTTTTATTACTTTTAATTATTAATAAGGGATTGCCCTGCATTTATTTCACAAGTTATGTGAGATTCTTATGTAAGGACATTAAGAACCCCAAAAATTAAAAAACGTAATCAAAATGGCCGTGACCGTTTATTTGCAGCCTTGTACACCCTCATTCCCCTGGGTGCAGCGGGTGGAGCTTGTCTGATGGTTGTCGTCGCAGTTGGTGTTGCTGTGTGTGTTTGTCACCGCAAACAAAGTCCAGCAGGTGAGAAGCTTCACGGCGCCTTTCTTCTTTTTTTATTATCTCGTGGTTGACACATCAGCTTTTATTTAAAATGCTTCCTTTTTTTATTCTCCAGCAGGCGGCGAGTCAAATGACAACACGCTGTATGCAGACATCAATGACGTTGCCATTAGGGGCGTAAGTACGCTTCTGTATTTGCTTGTTTTTTTCACAGATCAGTTTTAAATACACACTCAGTGCTTGTTTTTGAGGATGAAATACATGTTTCAGCCTCTCTGCTCGTTACAGAGGAATCCATCTACCATGGAGCCGTCCACAGTGTACGAAACCGTTGACAAAGTCGACCCGCTTGGGGTAAGAACAGCAAATGTTATCTTCAAAACTGAACTTAGATTCACAGCAGAATAAAGCACGTGGCTGAAGGGTTTTCTTGCCTCACTTGTACTAATTACACGACACATTTTAAGCATCACTTATAATAGTAAAACCCTTGTAAGAAAGTGTTGTGTTTTTTGTTTAACAATAAGTGTCATCGTCTGGTGTGTTTCTAATGTTTTTGCTCTTTTTGTCCCACATTTAGCCCCAGACTGTGTACGACAAGATCCAGTTCAGTCGCATGAGGAAGCCCTCGGTGTCGCCCTACCAAGAGGTCTCCTAAGGTGTCACAGCACAGAGTGCAGTTCACTTAGAGTGGGAAAGATAAAACAAAAACCCAAAGATATGTGGATATTGCTTAGGAAATGTGTCACACGGTTTCATACTTTTGTAAATGTTTTTCTGTTATATTAAATAAACATCATTCCCCGTTATATTTTTAGAACACAATTCTGCATGCTCCAATTTTATTACAGTGTTGTACATTTTGTGAATACAGAAATTATTTTTTATTTGTACGTCTTTGGGGGTTTCTGCTTGTGGATAAGTGGTCATATTAAATCACATATACTGTCATTCAGTCACTCCGCCTCTTTGTGTTTCTTTTCTGCGCGCATGTTGTATAACCTCAGCTTTTTGAGCTGTTATTTCAAATGGGGCGGTTTCCATACATGAATTAGCATTTGTCAAAAAAGTGAAAGAAATTATTCATTAGGTGAAAAAACAAATTCCTGCTCCTACTTTAAAAAGTAGCAAAAGTCCCAAACAACCTCCATATAAATGTATTTACAACACCTGGGTCAGAATGGTACTTAACACACGCAGTAGAAAAAATAATAACAAAAGTGAATAAACCTAATCGTGCTTTTTTGAAAAGTTTACAGAAAGGTGCTTGTGCATGTATGAAGGTATTGGACCATAAGTGATTTAAAAAAATAATTAAAAGTTCCAATTTCAGGATAATAAAGTAAATGTAATGTAAATGTATCATTTTAGTTGTTTCACTGTACAGGTTTTTTCTCTAAATGCATTCATTTTTGTTTCCTCTGTAATGGTTGGAAAGGCAAAGAGCACCTACTAACAAAAGAATACCCGTCATCAAGCCCAGCAAAAAAGCAAGCAAATATCTTGTCCTGTGCCGAGTCGTCGGCTGAATAGTTGGCGGGAGTGGCGGCTCGAGCTCGTTGCCTGAAACAACAGAAGAGACGTAACTAGAAAAAATAATTCTCCTCAGAACCACATCGGCATGAAGTGCATCACGTCGCATCACGTTTTCCCTCATTTGAATCCAGACTGCTCACCGCTGCACGTTGCCTTGACACTACTGGAGGCCTTCTCCTCGCCCCTGTGGGAGGTGCACGTCACTTCAACCGGATGCTGGGTGGAGCCGCGAATATACAGTAAGGCCACAGAGTGTCCGTTGGTATCGGTGAGGTTGCAGCCGGAGGTCACAGCGGGGGGCGTTGCTTCCAAGGACAAGAGGACGCCTTCATCGGTGGACTCACATCGTACCGACCAGTGACACTTATTGCTTTTAGATTCAAAGACTTCGATGGTCGGTTTCTGGAGGGGTTCTGTGGGTTCAAATTGAAATAGTTGATTAGACAAGCGCAGGTATTTGGACTAATGACGACCATAACGTGATCCATTACACTTACTCGTCACCCTGACGGTGACCTTGTTTAGGCTTTTCTGTCCTGGTGTACCAGTGAGGGCCACAGTGTACTGCAAGGCATCCTCCAAGGTCAAATGATGGATCGTCAGGTCACCTGATGAACAAAACCAGGATGAGGCGCCTCGTCACCAGGGAGAAATACACCACGCGTTCCTCCTGAGGGGAGGTGCATCCGTCTTACCCGTGGAGGAGTTGAGGCCGAGTCTCCCTTTATACCGAGCCAAATGATCCAGATTCTTCCACTTGTTCCGATAGGTGGCAATCCAAGTGCTGTTCAAGAATATCGTCCACACGATTGATGAAAGTTCCCACGACGGGTCGACCCCCGAGGGCAAGGTGACGTTGCCCCCGAGGAACCCGGAGATGTCCGGGAGACATTTAACCAGCACCACTGTGAAAATGAGTCAAAGACGATTGACATTCACATTTTAAACAATAAAGTTAATGCTACACTATCACTTTGATACCCTCGCTTTGGTCTATTCCACCTGGGATGCATGAAAGACAACCAATGTGGGGTCATTATGGATTTACCCAGAAAATATGATTATGGATTCTGGATTACGGTTAATAGGCTTTATGTTTTGGGGGACATTGAAACAATTGAACTCATCAAACCGACAAAACTAAAAATGCAATCAGTCCAATCAGAAGTGCATTTGAATAACTGATAAATAACTTCCTTCCCTCCAGCATCGTCTCTTAGAGAGACTCACTTTTTCAACATAGCACCTATTACACTTCTGAAAAATGACTTTTTTTTTAAAGAAAATTGAGGATACTTCTATGACTTTTTAAAGTCATTGGAAATACAAGTTGCCTTTTTTAAAGCTCTTTTTCTGCAGACGACTATTTTAAACACATCGTTTCATCACTTAGTTCAACATACTATAACTTTTGTTACTTTTTCCACTTACTAAACTAAGCAGTGTTTCCTCTACCATTATATCTTTTACATCAGAGGGGCGCCCCCTTTTCTTCCTCTTACGGTAGTGTATGTCCATGTATGCAGTCTTACCCCCCCCCCCCCCCACCCCTTTCTCCATCAGCCCCTGAAGATGTAAACCTATGGGAAACACTGCAGGAACTTACTACAGTACGACTTCATTCACTTTCCAACCTCTTTTACCAAAGAAATTACTTTCTTTTAGCCCTTTGGAAACGAGAGGACCCCACATGGGGTCTATTACTTACTGTTGTTTGACAATTACGTCTTTATGACTTATTTTGACGTGCTATAGCCTACTATTAACTTCTTTTCGTTCTTTTTAACATACTAGTGGTTTCCACATATTACATTACGACATTAAAATAACGTTTTAACAAATGTCTGTTCATATTTCATGGTAATCCAAGTGATCTCTGTAATATATATATATATATATATATACACACACACACACACACACACATTTCTCAGGGCGGACCGACGGTCTGACCTACATTACCAATCCTAGAGTCTACATAAGTACAAACCGTATCATTAGAAATGTTTGTATAATATATATAATATACATACGATACGTTTAGTATTAATGTATGAACGTAAAACTTTAACCACGTTCATTTCGAAGAGGACGAATACACCGTTAGCTGCACCACATGCAGTTCCTGTTTAGTTCGTCGGCTGGAGTATTTACTTATTTCTCTTCTCAATAGTCATTAAACTACGTCAAAGCGTTTGAAAGTTTCACCAAGCTGCAGGTGCTCCATCACATTCTAGAAAAGGGAAACAGGACGTACCTTGGAGGAATAGAATGAGGTAAGTTTGAAGCTTCATTGTCACGGAGTTCTCACACCAACGGAGCCCAAACACTTCCTTCTTCGTCGGCTGTATATGAAAAAACGCGCAACAAGACCGTTGATCTCCAACGTCTACGAGTGAACACGGGTTTTAGTGAGAAATTAAAATTCTGTATACATATGTATATATATATATATATATTATATAGATTAATATATTATATACATTTTAAGTTGTATTACATTTATCAGCCACACTCCCACTCAGGCGTCACTTCCTGAGAGAAGAGGAACTTCAAGAAACGAGAAGAGGAACTTGTGTGAGATCGTTTATTAAAAACCTTTGACATCAAGGAGAAAAACACGGCGCAACAGTAAATAACAATCCGGCTTTCGAAGACAACGTTCTTCAAGAACAAGTGTTAGGAGCTTATATCGATACAACAAAGTGATCCATCAAAAAAATAAGAAAACGCACAACCTCAGAAAACGGCACCAAGCGGTGAACGACAATCTCTGTCTGTAGTACAAAAAGGACCCGCGTGATAAAAGACACGCTGTGCATCAACACGTGGCGACCTGCTGGGGGGTCGACCCCCAATATGAAAGTATACAAACTAGTCCTCAAGGAGGGAAATAATTAGTCTATTAATCGGGTAGTTAAGCAACAGACGACTCATTGTGTTTATAAAGGACTCGTTACACTTTTGACGGGTTCTGCACTTTCTAAACAAAGGTTCCACTTAATTGAACCGTTGGTATTAATTTGAAATTAAAAGGACTGTGATAAAAAGAGAGGTGGGTGATGTAGGCACCAGGTTGTTAAGGAAGAAGAATATGGGGAATTACAATAAAGGCATATTATCATTATTCCCCCCACACACACACACACACACACGCACGCACACGCACACACACACACGATACTTGGCTGGAGCTCATACGACATCATCAGTGTTACTGGACACAAACTGGTCCTGCGTTGTGCTTTGAAAGTTCTTTCCTTTCTCAGTGCAAGAGGGCTCCAGTGAAGGTTCCCCAGAAACGATCCAACGACGAGAGCCGAGCGACAAACATTACAAAACACTCCACTCGCAAAACGCTCGGCCCATCAAGTCCATCCAGTGTTTCTTACTTCGTACTTTCAGTGGAATAAAAAAAAAAAAATAGAGAAATGACGTCAAAGGAAGTTTTTGCTCGATTCAGTCGGGGAGTCCAGTCAGTGTCCATAAGGGGAAAATAGACCAGGAGACCTGGGAGTCAATCAATGATTCTGCACAGTTTGTAGTTTGTCAGGGTCAAAAAAAGTGAAGCTTCTCATTTATAACAGACGGTCCGCTTCCTTCATGGAATTATTCCCTTGAATAAATCTCCCCATTGAGCAAAGAGAACTAATACCAAGTTCCCTGGAACCTGGAAGCAGCGAAACGTCAAAGGTCACCCGTCAGCACATCGAGGTCTAATCTTATGTTTGAGGAACAAGAGACGTCGGTTGCCTTTTCTTACCTCAAACTATTTTAGCCCGGTCCTTCGGGGGCGGCGCTTATCAACGAATAGAAAACATTTTTTTTTTTAAAAGGTATTAAAATAAAAGAATCCCCTGAAAGCGGCGAGACGAGTGTCTCTGAGCCAGCGTGCTGCTACACGGACGTCTCCGACTGCAGCTTCATCACAAACTTGTGCCTTTTGGGGTCGATGAACTCCTCGCCCAGGCGCAAGAAGGGAAGCGGCGTCGCCGTGACAACGAGGGAGAAGTCCAGGCGGCGCAGGGAAAAGACCAGGCCTGGGCGCAGCGCGGAGGTCACCGGCTCCTCGCTCACCAGCGTCCACTGGCGCCCCCTGCTGGTGTCCAGGTACTGCAGGGTGGGACCGGGGCTGAGGTAACGCTCCAGGAAAGCCTGAGGAACGCCACGCAAGTCCGTTTACAAATGGCACAATTACACTTCAGACGACAGAAGCGGGTGAAAAGGAGCTTCCTCACCTTTGGGGTCATGTTGTGCGTGACGCAGAACTGCAGGTGGTTGATGATGCTCTCCATGCTGTGGTAGGACTGCTGCCTGGTGGCGCGCAGGTACTTCTGCATGGCCCTCGCCATGGGGGCGAAGATGGCCTGGGCCGCCTCCCTGGGGTCCATCACCTCCCGCGGGTGTTTGGGGGAGGACGCGGGCGCCTCGTCCTCCTGGTGACGCTTGATGTGGGTGAAGGCTTCTTCCACGGCCACCACCAGTCTGGGAGGACATTAAACATCTCTTTTAATACTCCAGGGACGGGTTACAAGTCCCCTTCGGTCTGTGTCCGTGTGGGGGGGTCCTCACCTGGCCTTGCGCTTGCGGACCCTGCGCTCCACCTCGGCCTCCTCGTAGTAGTACTCGGTGTGCGAGTTGTCTCTCCTCCGGGCGGCGGCTGCGATCATGGTCCTGGACTGGCCCGTGGAGTTGTTGGCGCTGTTCTCTGTGGACGGACGTCCCCAAAATGCCCATCAATCGCCCGTTCATGTCCGTTGTTTAACGGCCCGAGGACGAGGCGGGATGCGTTTACCTTCCCCCAGGTTGTAGACCTTGAAGGCAGACATCTTCTTGGACAGGATGGACTTGGGCAGGTTTGAGCAGGGCGGGGTTGTAGACCGGGAAGTCACTGTAGTACCTGGTCCAGGACCCAAACGGCTGCCCGCTGAATGCTGGGGGAGGGAAGGAGAACAGTTGAGACGCGGGTAAAAGGGGAAGTGGTGCAGCAGACGGGGGGGGGCACTGACCTCAGGTGTCCCACGTTGTAGAAGCGGCTGGCGCCGTCTGTTGTCCTCACGACCTTCAGGCAGAACGCCGGCTGCAGGTGCCGCACCTCCAGCAGCACCAGGGCCAGGTACTGGATGAAGAGCAGCGCGTCCACCAGAGACGCCGCGTACCCCACGATCCCCCTGTAGTCCGTCTCCCGGGGCTCCAGCACCCGCACGCCGTAGAAGAGCCAATAGGACGCCACGAAGAGGAACACCAGCGCCAGCAGCAGAGAGCGGAAGACGAAGAAGCGCGGCAGGGTGGCGCGCGGCGAGCGCAGGAACAGCGCCCAGGTGGAGATGAGCAGGATCAGGAGCTTGAAGGCCAGAGAGATGTAGAGGCCCTCGCACGGCGTGCCGCACGGCTCCAGCGTGTCCCGCCAGAGGAGCTGCGGGAGCGCCAAGAAGGCCAGCGGGGTGACCAGGGCGAAGAGGCCCAGGACGGCGCCCAGCGCCGGGCCGAGGTGGCGCCGGCAGTCCGGCGGCGATGAGTCCTCCAGGTCCTTCGACATCCGCGTCAGGTCCTCGTTGGAGACGCTGTCCACCGAGGTGCCGGTGACCACCGTGGTGGTCTCGCCCCAGTTGTCATCCTGGAGAGAGAGAGAGGGAGGGACGGAGGGAGGGAGGATGAGCGCCGGAGAAACACGCCCACAACGCGGCTCAACAGCAACGATGGGAGTCAAGACTCGGACCCGGTCGTCTCCTCTGGTGGACTCGGCGTCCAGCAGCGGCTCCCCGGGCGCTTGGATGGTCACCGACTTGTCCCCCCGGCTGCTGCCGTCGCGGCTCTTGGCGCGGTGCCTTTCCCGGCGGTCCCTGCGGGAGAAGACGTCCTTTGTCAAAACGGACAGACGGACTGAAACGGAATAACCGGTGAGAAAGTGCGACGCGCTACCTGTGTTTGCGGGAGGTCCGCGACTGGGACGACTTGTAGGAGTAGCCCGAGTACGTTGACTCGTTGTCCATGTCGGAGGCCGGCGGTGGGCGGGGTTTCCTGGCCCCTCCTACCCCCGAGCCGCCGCCGCCGCCGCCTTTCTCCCAGACTACGCCCAGCTGGCTCTTACGGCTGCTGATGGACTTGGTGGAGAGGGCCAGAGGGAGGCGCAGCAAGTCCACTTTACTCCTGAGGGAATCTATTTTGGAGGCCTGGGGGAGGAGGAGGGGAGGGGGAGATAAGTGGAGAGTTCGGAAAGGGAGTAATGGGGGGGGGGGCGAAATGTGTGATAAGAGAGACAGACAGGAACAAAAGCATCCGAGATGCGAATATACAAAGAAACAGCGACATGGAGAGCGGCATTGTTAAGCGGTTGGCGTGTTCTCAGTCACACGGGACGGAACCGGGCCCGTCCTTCCAGATCGGGGAAGGTTTTTCTGGGTTAGCGGAATAAACACAACCCGTTTGTTCATCCTCATTTTTGTGTTGACGCGTAGTCGCCCGGAAGCCACATTCCCCAGCCGCTCCCCGTGGTCTCCGGTGGCAACGGAGCTCAACAACTACAATGGGGGATGAATGGGAGGCTACGGGTGAGAAAAGACGGGAGGGGGGGGGAAGGGGCAGTTGCCACGGCAACCGGAACATCAACTGGCCACCCCCCCCCCTCCTTATTATTCTCCCTCAGAAAACACCTCGGAGGACAGAAACGGACACCAAGCATTCTGACCCAGGGTCTGTTTGCGTCCACTTTCTGAGTTTGACTCTTAATCCAATAACAGATCTCGCGCTCTTAATTTGAACCGGTGAGCCGTTGTGTCCGTCTCCCACATTAGACACTGTGATGGCTTTCATGTGATCTACACATGGGCGTCTCAGGCACTCATTATGTCCTAGATGTCCCCAGATATACTCGGGTTCGGTGGAAGACAGACTGAAAACAGCGTTTTTTGTGAAATGTTTGCATTCAAAATCCAAACCTTGAGATTAGATCTAGTTTAAGCTTTAAGGGAGATTTAAGAAAATATTCATGCCGGAAAGCGTCTTCGGGTCTCTGGGGGCGGATGGAGGTTGGAGGATGTGACCTGTTGAAGTCTGTAGGAAATGAGCGTAAAGTAAAAGCTGCACAGAACGGCTTAACAGCAGCGTTCATCTCACAGAGTTAAACATTAATCACATTTCTAAAGATCCTTTCAAAGTAAAACATAATGTCTGATCTAATGACATCACCCTGACCCATGAAACGGTGCCTTTGCTGCAGCTTGTTCAGGCTTATTATTTTTATTGTTCTGAGCAGGTATTAAAGTCTGAGTGTGTGTTGGTGAATCATTGGAACGGACACGATCAGACCTTTAACAACGTGCCAGAAGGCACAACAACAAAGCTTCTCACGGGTTTTAAATAAATCATATTGATCATAGTCCCATCGATCGAGCCTCATCCACGGTGATCAATCCCCCCCCATCGATCTACACTGGTTTCCACGTCCAGCATCATCTGGGATGCAGGAGGTCCCACGTGCAGTGTGGAAACAGATGTCAACCACTCCGAGACTTTGGAACATGTTTGTCATGAAATGTTGTTTAACAATTGTTTCCTCACAACGTGACGTTCTTCATTAAACTCACATTGTTTCATTTAAGCTCATTTACTTTGATGCAGAGTGAAATGTCTCCTTACCTCTCAATGTCCCGGATGAAACTAAACGTCGTCGCGTGCGTGCAGCCTCGGGCTGCCGCGCGTGCGGCTCCCGGGGGCCCTGCGGGCCTCCGGCCCGCGGTGGGCCGGCCGGGCGGGGCCGCCGCCTCGACGCGGGCTCCTTGAAGCAACCCGAAGCCGAGGCTTTCTGGGGCCTTCGCGTCACAAGCGCGCGCACGCGCGCGTGAGTGAGCGAATGAGTGAAAGTGCACGTTAACCAGCGAGCAACAGCCGCGCCGGTGACGCCTCAACGGCAGCGAGTCCGCGACCGAGACAAAGCGGAACACACCCGGGACGAAGTGATACGGTGACACGGCGCGCCGCCGGAGACGCGAACCTTACCGTGGCTCAGTGCGTAAAGGCGCACGAACAACGGACACAGTGCGCGGCGGAGGACAATGGACGGGGGGCGGGGGGGCTACAAGTGAGCGTGGAATCCAGTTTTCCGGGATCGATACGGCTCATCTGCCACCTCATCGGTCCTCACGGACCGCACGCGCGATACCGAAAGCTTTTAAAAAAAAGAGTCGGAAAACCCGAAAACGCGACTTTTGTAGTTTTTACATTAAAGAAAGCAGCCGGTGTGTTCGTGCTCGTGCACCAAGAGTCCATTTTTACCCACAATGCACGCAGGAATGTCTTACCTTTCTATCCAGGGGATGGGGGGGAGTAGGGGGGGGAGAAGAGCTGGAACCCGCAGCACAAAGAGACGAGCGGCAGAAAAGTGCCTCCAACAAAAAAAAAAGGCTCCACGTTCACTTTCTCCCGACTTTCATCCGCCCGCGCGCCCGGTCGTCCCGCGGTGAGCCGGACGCGGTCAGTCTGCTGCGCTTCTCGGCCCGTTGAGTCGCACGAAACTCGGAAGCGACCCGCAGCTCATCCCGGCCCCGCGTCTGCTGTGTGGCGGAGCTTCCCCCCCGCGCTCCCTCTTCTCCCCCCTCGTCCCCCCCGCTGGGCTTCGGCGGCTTCGGCGCGCGCGTCCAAGCGGCTCCGGCTGGAAGCGTCAGAAGACGCACGCGGCTTCCGGTGGATGGAATGACGCTAAAAATCAACCGTGCGGATGGATAATTTGTCCTCCTAAGAAACGCTCTTAAATATTACATCGAGTGGTTAAATCTATGAATTATTCATGTAAATAACAAAGGAAAGGTCTGACTGTTGCTGCCTTGTCTTGATAAATTATTGATAGAAATTTTAGACTGATATCAATGTACAAAACAGGCAGTACTTTTTACACAGTACTGATTTATTAAAAATAATTCCCCCATAATTACATTTACAAACTATAAATGTTATGATGAAATAGATTTGATTATCGGATAAAGTTGTGTGAATAAATGTTTTAACATATCCTTGAAAATTAGTTGGTGTATAAATATGCTTATTATATATTTATATAAAAACACCCACTACACTATTATGCATCTCTGTTATACTTGCACCGTTTGCAGGTTTCAGCCTTTATTTTGAAAACAAGAACGTTCACACACCATTTCCGGTCTCGTTGATAACAAATGTTTTTGAAACATTGTTACTTCTTGAAAGAGTATAAACGAGAAAAATCCCGTTGTTTTCTTTCAGGATCACAAATCCAGAGGACGTCAATTCATTGTTATTTTGTTCAACTTTTAACCACAAATTAAAAACTTTATTAATGGGCCGGAAGTTCTCACTAGCAGAAGAAATAAGTGTTTGCTGGCATTAGTTTCTGGACAAATTAAGAGACACATTGTTGCCACTAAGTACTAGAACTTATAACATAGAGAAACATTTCAAAGGTGACAATTCAACTCACAGATCAAAGACTCGTGATTCTTTTGCCAGTTTCTTTTTTTTTAATCTCACAAAACACATGAATCTGAGACATGAGCTCTCTTTCCCGTCTGTGCAGCTAAACAATCTCACCGATTTTAAAAACAAGGGAGAAGAAAATAATTTATACATCCTTTTTTTTTTTTAATCATATCTACAAAAATAAAATCAAATACGAGGACTAAGGCTTTACAGGAACAAAAATAACAAATATAAAACAAGTGGGTCTGATCTCTCTATATTACATGAGTGACATGTGTTTTATTTTTTAAAAGACAAAATAAACCATGAGATGATAGTTAGACGTGTGTATGCATACAGTAGTTTGCATCGTGCAGGGAAGTTTCTTTGTGCAACTCATTTTTTTTTTTTTTTTTTTTAAGAATCAGTTATAGCTTCTTTTTTTCCCCCCTCTTTTTTCAAACCGCCCGTTAAGGCCGAAACGCTGACGTCAATGTACGAGATAAATGCATGAAAAGAAGAAATCATGGAGGATACAAAGAGGTAGAAGTTGGAGATGAAAATGCTGTAGTTAAAGAGGAGGAACATTTGACTCGTTTCAACCCCCTCAGACCATTTTCGTCACGTATGTGACAGCTCGGCACATGATGGACAAAAAAAACAAAACGAACGTCTGGTCTGAGAAGCTTGAAAATCAGCAGCTGAAATGTTGAGAGAAAAAAAATGGTTCCCTTCAACGCCTCTGAAGACATTTTTCACTTTGGTAGAATATTTCAGCATTTCAGCAAAAACATTTCCCTCAATTTGCATGCGAGTCTCCCCAAAGACACCCGGGCAGCGAGACACTGCCAAGCAGCACAACCCGAAGGCCACTCGGGCCCCGTCCGGGTCCCGTTAGCGTATCCTCCGTTAGCATTTCAAACCCGCTCAAGCGAAGTGCCAGCGGAGCTTCTTCTTGCGTTGAAAAAGCTCGCGCAGTCTAAATGCGTTCTGGCTGCTTGGTGCTTGGGTGGAATCACTCCACGGCGCCGCTCTCTGCCGGTCACGCGCAGCCTCTTAAGTGCGATCCAGACGTAGTGTTTGCTGACGAGATCCGTGCGCTCGTGTCGGTGCGTTGTGCGTAAATCAAAGTAGTGTTGATTTTTGCAAACAAGTACATTTCCCAGAATGACAATGTCCGCTTCAACGAAACAGTTGCATATACGGCAGCGGTTTCTTATTTTACTGCAGATTGAAATTCTTATCAAGCTTTTGATTCCTCCTCCGCCGGCCTCCCATGTGGGCGACGTTGATATGAAATAGGACTTCAGAAGAAGGGGAGAAGGTGGCGCGTCACAGTGAGAGGAGGCCACAGGCGGGAAATGACCGTTCAGTGAATATTTCTACGTTGGGACTCTTCTTGTCGGAGCCGCTGTGCGACTCGAGGAGACGTCAGCGGGGCCGCGACTCTTCCCAAAGACCCTCGTGCTTCCTCCACCGCGATGTGTGAAGGTCTGAGATGAATGAAATGGTCACGTGTGTGTGTGTGTGTGCGTGTGTGTGATAATGGTTTCCTTACCCAGTGCAAATAACCTGAATTATAAAGACACAGTCCTTCGGCCGTGGTGGCGAGTGAACTCAGTGTAAAGCAACCAGTGGGGGGGGGGGCCTCAAACATCGGCTCCTAAATAAAGTCAGTGGCATCTCCGGTCCCTGATTCGTTCCAGAGGGATGCATTGTGGGTAAAGTGCAGGGGTGACGGGTCCCTCGGAGATTTCCTTAAATTAAAAATTTCAACACTTTTCCGCTTCGTTCCTTCAAACCAACAAAACATACGACTCCTTTTCCTTCACAAACATCCAACAAGGGTCATTTGTTTCCCACTTTCCATTCCTCCAACTCCCCCCTCTCCCTCCCTCCCTCCCTCCCTCCCTCCATCTCTTCAGTCAACTTGTCTTCTTCCTCTTTTTGTTCCTTCATGCTCTTCCCCCCTCGGCCCGTCCCGGACTCCCTGCTCCTCCTCTGGTAGGAGTCAGAGTTTGTCCTGAAAACAGCTACAGTCCGTCCCGGCCTCCGTTCCACTGGCCAGTGCATGCGGGTGGGGCGGGGCGGACGGGAGGGGGGGGGGGAGGTGGGGGCGAGAAGGGAGGCAGTGGCCGAGGAGTCCGAGTGCTTCCCTTGCCATCAATGGAGATCGAGCAACCGGCGAGTAGAATCCTCTCCGCAGCGACGTCAGAATCCCGTCGACTGAACTCTGGGCTCCGCCGGGCCGCCCGCTTTGCCTGGTCGGGGGGGGAGGAGGACATGAATAAATGAAGCTGCGTTATGTGAAAGTGAATCAGCGGCCGGCGTTCGGTCGGCGCTCACCGTCCGCCGAGCCGCGATCCAGACTCGGTGTTCTGGAGACGGTTGCCGGGCAACGCGGCTGGTCCTCCGGCTCCTCATCGGCAAAGGGCTCTCTGAGGGTTTTTAAAAGCTTTTGATGGGACTTCTCGATTTCCTGTGGAGGGAACGGAAAACGACACCAGATTTAGAAGATACGTGAGAGAAAAGAACAGGTGGAGGGTCGGTTGTCGCTGAAAAACGAAACAAACGCACCCTCAGCTGGCGCAACTTGCTCATCAACCCCTCGATCGTGTGGAAAATCTCGTCCACATTTCTGATCACGTGGCTCTGGGGGCCGGCCTGCGATGGGCCCGCTTCCTCGTCCCCCTCCCGCCGCACGGCCCCCGATTGGCCGGGCTCCTCCTCGGGGGCCGGCGTCTCCTCCTCGGGCTGCGTCCGTGGCGATGTCCCGTCCTCCGGAGGCGGGGGGGGGACGCGAGGGCCGCTGAGGTCATCGGTGGCGCTCTCCCCCGGCTCCGTGGGCATGACCAAGTAGAAGGTGTTCCCTGGAGGGCAGAACGTGAGCGCGTGAGCAATAAACATCACACTCGACAAATATTTGACATGTGAATAAAAAAAAGAAATAAAGTATTTGTCTGATAAAAGCTACAGAACCAATTGTAGCCATCATTACCCTGCGTGGCGGCCTCGCCTCTCGGCTTGGATGATTGATCAGCAGTGATGTCGTCAGGGACAGAGGAAGAAGAAGAAGGACCCGCAACCACAGCTATAGCACAAGATAGAGGATAGAAAAGTGTGCGTGTGTGTGTGTGTGTGTACGTGAATTAAGGAAGCGTGAAGAAGGCGATGAGGTGTGTTTGTGAAGAGCACCCGGACAAAAGAGAAAGAGCAGATCGAGCGCGTGAGGAACCGAACAACGAACCACCGTGTGCAGCGGGAAACATGCAGAGGGAGGCAGCTGTTAAAGAGCTTCACCGGGACATCGGAGAGAACGTAGTCCTCTAATCCAGATGTTCATCCAGAGGGAAACAAAAGGCGATCCGCCCCAAAATAAATGCAACATGCAATCGGAAATGTAGGACAGCTTGGCGGGGGAACTTTCTCCTTCTCATCTGCTACCTTTCCGCACGACCTGAACGCTGCCGGGCGGCTCCCCGTCGGGGGGCGGAGCCTCTGCGTCGGGCTCGGCCTCCCACTCGTCGGCGCTGAAGTGGAGGACCGTCTCCAGGGACTCCGGCCGCCGCGAGCTCCTCTCGCTGGCCGTCTCGTTGGTGGGCGTGTCCCCCGAATTGTGGCTCCAAGCGTCTCCCTCTTCCAAGTCTCTCAATATGAGCTGCCTTAG